CAGTACTCAAGAGGCACTGATACTCAGTTGGACTAAATTCAGAGAAACACTTTGAACTTGAAGGTGCAAGAATTTGTGTTTATTTTTCTGTTTCAGAATGATAACCACCTGCTGCCATACCAGAGTTTTGTTTCTTCCAGCCAAAATAATGTAACTTAAAAATTCATTTTTTCTACTGAGAAGCACATCAGCAGAAAATATTCTTTCTTATTGCTTTAGTTTTTGTTTGTTCCCTAAATTGATCATCAAACCCTAGGGTTAAAAAAATTAATTCATTAAATCCTAGGGTTAAAAAATTTAGTTCAATCATCATAAATATAGCATGAGGTAGATTTAGGAAATTTTTAGCGTATAATCAGATCAGATCTCCCTTTTGGACCCCAATGAAACCACTGCCCACAGCACAGGAAAGACAGTTTCCTATTTATAATTTTAGTTTCTGAAGTTTCCTATTTATAATTTTACCTTGATAATAATCATTTACAAAAATAGTGTTCAAAAGATTAAATGCTCCTCCATATTTTCTCAAAGAATGGTGAAATTACAATGTGTAAATGTTTATAAAAGTTTTAATTAGCACCTTAGAATTCCACATAGAGATCTATAAATAAATGGTAGATTGAAATCAAAAAATATCTTTGAAACTCTTACTGCGTTCAATACTTTTAATTAAGGCCTAACACATTAAACTATTATTCCTAGGAACTTCTATGATACTTTATTGTAACTTCTGCTCCTCTTTTCTCCCTATAATCTTCTTGCAACTGCTTTTGTGATCGATTATGTACCAGATTGTCATTTTATCATGGACTATGAACGGACTTTTCCTCTCGAATTTTAATTTCTCTGTTTATCTTTGAACTATATCACTATATTTCAACAAAATTTGCAAATCCCTAATGTCCTTAACATTTCACAGTATTTTTTCCAATTAACTAGTTAATTAGTTGATTTTAGTCTACAACCTATGTTCTCTGGTCTTAAAGTGCTGGAGAATCATGCTGATTGCAGGCTCTAAAAATTCACGGATTATAATTTTTGGTAGTCCCTCAGCAAACTGCTAGCCAGCTGCTACAGTGTATGGTTGCATTCCTCTGGGCTGTCATACCAGTTTTTTTCTGTTTCAATCTGGAAGTGGATCCATAGCCCTTTTCTTTTATCTTCACTGGAATTAGTGATGCCATCTGAGAAAAATACAGCTCATATGCCTTCAGATATTTATTGCCTTAAAACTTTTATCTATTACCTTACTTTTGTAAATTCCTGGGTGTTGTGGCGAGGAAACAAGATCTATTTTCCTTCCCAGGGCTAACAGTTTATCTAACACTCATATCTTCATCTTTTTTTGCAGGACTGACTCCATCACTTATTCCCTTTATTTCAAAACTTTTTGAGCACTCTGTTTCTAATTTCTTTTATTCTTTTTTTTTTTTTTGTCTTTTTTTGAGTCAAGGTCTCACTACATAGTATAAGCTGGCCTTAAGCTCACTTTGTAGCCAAAGCTAGTCTTGAACTCTCAATGATCTTCCTGTCTCAGTCTCCTGATGCTAGGATTGCAGTGTGTGCCACCATGCCTGGCTCTCCATTTCTTTTATAGTTTCTATGCTTATGTCTTCCCTTACAGTTGCTTTTCACATCATTTTTTTTTAAAAGTCATGGTCCATGTCCATTAAACTTTCAAAATTACGTACTGTTTCTGTGAGCAGGTAGGTATAAGTGACACTTAACATTAACATTGGGAAAATACTCTTTCAAAGGCAATCTTTCAATTATAACAAATTACCTTACTTTAAAATAATGAATCTTCTATGTGTATTGCTTATTGTCGGCCTCCCCAAGCAATGACCTAAGCCCCTTGAGGCTAAATCCCCGGCTGCCTATCTGCTCACTATACCTCCTTGCATCTCTTGGCTTGGATGGCATTGGCACTCTACTGCTATTCATTGTATGACTGGGGCATCCCCTAGTCCATTAGCCTCCTCTCAACCCGCATCATCCTTTAATTTTCAAAAACTCTTATAATGGTTTTGTTCAATATCAATGTTACTATAGCCACACATTCCTTGGGGGACACATTTATCATTTTTTATTTCCATCAGTAAAACCAGTCAGTTCCCACTTTCTTGTTATAAAAGCCCTCATGTGTATTTCTCGTCTACAACCTTTTCATTTAAGCAGATCTAACTGGAAGACTTCCATAGCCACTAATCATCTCCAAACCTCTTCCCATAGTCCTGCCTAAACCATCCTATTCTGGTACACTAGAGTTTTCTTCATCTGAAACAAAATTTTGGGTACACTCAGTGGCTTCTGTTGCATATGCCTTGGAATTTGTAGGCATCTATGGTTTGTTTCCAACTGATTTTTATTGCTTCATCCTTTAGTAGTTTCCTACCTCATCTTTGTGTTCATAACAAGTAGTTCAGAATTCAGTTTTATAATATAAATAAATATAAAGAGATATAAATATCAATAACTCCTTTATCCAGTTTTTCTGCAATTCCTTCTCCCTAATTCATCTGTCAAGACTTGACCCAAATGCTGCTTCTTCAAGTAAGTGTTGTCGGATTGCTCTAAACAAGAGTGATCTCTTTCTTGGTGAAGCCCTCACAGCATTTTGCATGTCCTTCATGATATGCCTCACATTCTATATTCGTTAAACATATGTGTGTGCATTTTTAATCTTTCTTATGAAACTGTATATTGTTTGACAGGAATAGTAGTAAGATCTTTTCTTTTGTGATTAGCAAGGCAATTTTACTTCTTGAGCTTTACTAAGGCATAATTCACAGAGTAAAATCCATTATGAGTGTTGAGTTTGATGAATTTTATAGCAATCATGTGATTATCAAGATGCAGAATGCTTCTGTAAAAGACCTTTTCATTTGTGTCTTTGAGATCTATGGTCTTCCTGTAATTCTCTGCCGTGGATTATGAGAGAATTTTCTAGAAATGTGATTTTGCCTTTTTTAGAATTCATATAAATAAGATCATAGTATTCACAGTCTTTTGTTTTTAACTTCTTTTACTTTTATAATATTTTTGAAATTTTTTCACAGGGTCTTATATTTTAATTAACTTCTTGCATTAATATTTCTATGGCCGGATACACAGAACACAATTTATTTAACATTTATAAGTTAAAAGACATTTTTGTTGCTTTTGGTTTTGGTTAATTGCTAATAAGGCTGCTATGAACATGTATGTACAAAGTCTGGTATGAACATGCACTTTTATATCTCTTGATAAATGCTTTAGAGTGCAACAGCTAAACATATGGTAGGCGTGTACGTTACATTTTAAGAAAATTTAACATTTTAAGAAGTTGTGCATAAGGCTAAACAGAGTATCGTACTACAGCAGCCAAATACATGTACTGTTTAACATCTATAATCAGAAGGCAGCGTGAAGTAAAGGAGCTGACAGCGGTCAGTCTGGTAAGACGTCATAATCTCTTGCTTATTCCTGAACTGGAGCCAATTTGCAGATTTGGATCCTACTGACTAAAAAGGACTCTCATTCCTAGGAGGAAAAGCAGCAACTCTGATAATAGTTCATTATAGTGATTTTTCAGTCCTTTCTCAAAAGAGTCTATATTATTTACTCACATGACTATTCTTGGGAAAGATAGAAACACCCAGGAATTTCAAGGACTATTGGACAGAGGATGGAATTCAGTCTGACACTTGCAAAACCAAAGCTTCATCATAGCTCCACGCTAGAGTTGTGGTTACAAAATTTATGAAGTTCTGATTAAAATCTACCTCCAATGGGAATCCATGCGTCAACTCTAATCTTTTCTGAAGGTGTAATTAAGGGTGTAAGTTTGGATAACTGGAATAACACTTTAACTGAGTCTTTGGCATTGCCAAATTTGTGCATGCCAATTTGTGCACTCTGGAGAAAGGGTCTATTGAGAGTGTGGCAGAGATTAGTGGGCAGTGATCCTCATAATTTTGTTAGTTTTAATTTGCAAAACTGGCTGCTTCAGAGATTGAGGAATCTGAGGAATAACTAGGTCACTGAAATAGTCACCATGATTACAGCTTTTGTACCAGGTGTTTCACTGATGCAAGAGAAGATGTATTAGCTTCAGTTATATGATACAAGGGCAGAACAAGTGCATTGATATTTGATAAGACAAAAGGATCTGCATCAATTCGCATTTATGTGGAGCACATAAATATTTACTAGTAGGTTCTCTCTACCTAAGGTTAATTTAAGTTATCTCCCTTCTTTCGTGACGGGATATGGAGACATCTGGATGGAGTAGGCAATCCACAGAACTTCACCCTGGTGTGTTACGTCAAAGGCATTGGGCCGCTTGGGTGGGATCAGCAAGATGTGGTTAGTGTGGTAAATGTCTACACTCGACCCACCCTATCCTTCTCTGTTGGTCTTAACATAGAACTTTGGTTTTTCTCTTTATGCCAATTCATTCTCCAGCTCACTTAGAAATTTTGAGTTATTGATTATATTTTCTGTCTTGCATTTTTAACATCATCATCTCAAACAGTTGTTTTTCATTTGAAGCTTATCATTAAGATAAAATCCATCAGTCTTCCCTCTGTTCCCTAATTTTCTGATTATTACAGAAAATTCTTTTCTCTGTCTGGCTCACCACTTCTATTCCACAATCAAAAATTTTCAGCTTAGTTCCAGCCCTTATTATGTGTTGAAAAAAATGGGTTTTTAAATGAGATCAATAGTGGCCTCCTTGCTAAATCTATGTCTGTGGAGGGTTTTTTTTTTCTGTTTGTTGTCAGTCACAGTTGGCTTCTTAGCAGCATTTGATAATTCATCTTTCAATTGTTATGATTTACATCTTAAGTGTTCACCAAAGATCATGTGTTTAAATACTGGTTAACAACTGTGGTGCTATTAGGAAGTGGTGGAATCTTTCAGAAATGAAGATCAGTTGGAGGAAATTCAGTCTAACAAGGGTACACCCTTAGGTGGCATATTGGGACCCCCTAGTCCTTCAACATTTTCTTTTTTTATCTTTGCAGCCAAGGAGAAATCAGCTTTCCTCCACCATACTCTCCCTGCATGATGTCTTGCCTTGCCACAGGTCTAAAAATAAAAAGATCCCCTGGCCATGGACTGAAATCCCTGAAGTCATAGATAAAGTAAGTGTCTCCTCCTTTTAAGTTGTTTATCTCAAGTATTTTATTACAGTGACAAAAAGGTGACTAACATCAATTTTGCAATTTTCTTGGACTCCAGATTGACAGAATCAGCTTTGTGCTTGACATTTTTACTTGGATGATTCAAAGTTATCTCAGACTTATTAGATTCAAAGTCATGCTGTATTTGCCAAAGTTAGTCTTTTCCCTGGGTCCCCATAGCTTCTGAAACACAGGCAATAAATCTCTCTCTCTCTCTCTCTTTCTCTCTCTCTCTCTCTCTCTCTCTCTCTCTCTCTCTCTGTCTCTGTCTCTGTCTCTCTCTCTTTCCCCCAGTGTCTTCTTTTCTCTAACCTATATTATTTTAAGTTTCCTAATTGACTGTTTTCAGTACTCTCTGAACAGTGATTTTTAAGAGTCATCTCTTCTATAGAACAACTTTAATAAAACAAAATCCCAAGCATTTAACATGATCAGACATGCTGAACATGATTTCTCCTCACTTTTCTTCATGTTCCACTTTAACTGTACACAACTGCTCACCCCACCCCTTTTATAGAGATTATTCTTAGTATTCAAGCACAATTTATGCAGAAAAACTTTTTCTGGCCACCTTAGTTATATCTTCTTATGAAATGTTCTCACTACACGTATATAATTCTGTTTATGTTTCCTGACTAAGAGTTACTTTGTGTGAAATATCATTATCAGTACTTTAAATTGCACAATGAACATTAACAATAATCCTAGTTATTTTTAAAACTCTCATTTTATATATAAGGATCTAGTATAGAGAAGCTTGCTACTTTGTTCAAAGACACACTGCTGGTGTGTGTCAATTAAGATAAAATGTAGGCATCAAACTTCAGAGTCCATACCCTTAATCATTTTACTTATGATGCTTCTCTTCCTCAGTGACATTTATTAGAATCACAATTTGTTAATGTGATTACTTACGAATGTCAATTTCCCTACTATGAGAAAATTATTTTATTTATTAACATGGTATATAATGTAACTAATAATGAAAAGAACATAAATAATTCATCAGACTCTTCATAAGCAGGACCCTCTATTTTGGATTTTTATTTCCCTTCATATTCTGATCTATCTTGGAATTTAGTATGGTTAGGCTAAATTATTTCAGAAAAAATTTCAAATGAGCATTAGGTAGAATTTGAAATAGGTAGTGAATCTTCATGGCTGTAAAACTTAATAACTGAAAGTCTAAAGTAGAAAGAACAGCACTTCAGAAATATTATAGAAAGTATTCATTTTTCATTCATGGTGAAAATTTCATGAACCAAAAGTAATCTTCTACTCTTCTGATTAATTATGAATTCCTTGTCAAGGCAAACCTAAAGAATGGTAAAGGAAGGTAACATTTTTCTGATTATAAAATAACACATGTTAATTAGATGGAAATTTGGAAATGTCAAAGATTATCAAGAATAATTTGAGTCATTCACTGTTAAGTCTACCAGAAAAAGAGAAAATAGAATTATTATTATGCACAAAATCTTGTAATACATAAACACATATACACATATATAATGTTTATATATGCATATATAAATACAGAAAAATGCATGCATATTTTTGTATTAGTATTATTCTTTTAAAATTAGCATATTCTAGATGAGTGCTTGTTTCTGACACCTTATATCGAAGCATACTTCACTTCACTGTTATAAAATGTTTTTTAAAATATGCTATTTTATGGCTGAATAGTCACTCTATAGATATGCCATAATTTATCTTTTTTTTCTTTTTCTAAAGTCCACTATTTTCTCTTAAACAAGAATTTAATATTCTTGCATATATAAATCACTTTCTACATCTGTGGGATTTTTCTCATATTTGGATCCCGAAGTGGAAATGGGTCAGAAAGAATGACCTTGTTAACTCTCCTTGTTCGTATTGCTTGATTGATTTCTAGAGAGGGTATAGGTAATCTAACATGTCTAACAGAATTGTACAATTGTGTCTAGACGTTTTGCCTAGTCAAGCATTAAATATTGCTTCTGGAAACAAAATATTTGATGGTCAAACTTTGATAATCCTGTATTAATGGCTATTAAAGAAAAGAACATTTTTATATTTTATAAATTTGTGTGAAAATTACTAGAAGCTCTATGCAGTTAAATTTGGAAAGTTCTTCTAATTTTTAAAATCATGTTCCTTTTGTTAAAAATTAACATCTAGGAGTGATTTCCCTGGATATATGAATGCTTATTCTCAAATTTAGGAGTATAGATATATTTATGATCACTTGCTTATAAAAGCAAAAATTTGTCTATAGGTGGTAGATTATATAAGTATGGTCTAGCCATACTACACACTACTGTTAAAAATAACAAATGTAACTCAAAGTGACTTACACTATATGAAAATACATTGATAATTTGAAGGCCAAGAGGTAGAATGAACTGTGAATCTTAACTCCTTGGCTGTCTCTTGTTATTTCTTCCATAGAATCTGCAACAGTACAGATCTGCTCTGTTAGTGACTGTACCACGCTTCCTGTCTCATGGAGATCAGGAGCCACTTCCTGTTCCATCAAAAACCTGAACTTCATTTTGATTGATCCTATTTGAGTCATGTATACAGACGAAACTAGGAATAATACCCACCCCTGCAGACACAGGTTTCACTCAAACTTCAGGGAAGTGATACGAAGATGGGAAAGTGGAGGAAGATTGCTAAGCTGTGAGTTTTTATTTTTGGGTTTCTTTTTTGGGGGTTCTCATGACCTTGCACTTGACAGTTAAGTGCTTGTGTCACTGAGCTAAATCCTTCACCCTAAGCTATAAGTTTTATCCAGAATTAAAATGAATATTTTTATATGCATTGATACAAAATAAACCCAAAGGTATATGGACAAAACAATATGAATATTTGCCTGTGTATGCATGGAAATTTTGCTAGGAGTTAATAGTTGGGTTACTTCTGAAGAAGCAAGTCACTTCTGAGGTAGTGGAACAGATGGAAAGAGACTTTCCACTGTATGATGTTTCTTCTTATTGAGAATTTTAATTTGCATTACCTATTTTTAAGTGAATGCATGAAAACTGGCTATTTTATTCTATTTTATTCTAGAATAAATTTAGCAAGATAGATTTCTTTCAAGCAAAAATGGGCCATTTGTGCCTATTGTTGTTGGAACTGTCCACTGATACCTTTAGTCATATTTTTCTATTGAGGGGTTGCCAGCCTCCAGAAGGGACCTAAGGATTCATTGCTCTATAGTCATCTTCTCATATTTTACCTTTTATATGAAATTGACCTTGACCTATATTACTAATATAGCAGAAGGGAGAGAGTGACAGTAACAAGACTAGGTCACAAAAAGCATTGCATTACTTGTTTTCCCTTTTCTAAAGGCAACTAGCCATCATGTCAAGAAGCTATACAAGCTGTCCTGTGGAGAACCTCGTGTGGAAGGAAAACCATCCTCCCACCAGCAGTCAGCACTGCGAACACCAGCACTGGAACAGATTCTCCAGCAGCATCCAGTCCCTCAGGCAACTTCAGCGTGTGAGGAGAACTTCACTAGAGACCCCTACACTAAACTGGGACTAGACAGCCCTGTCCCAAATTTATGACTTGTAGAACTGTGAGAGATAAATGATCATTTCAAGCTACTGCAATTTGGAATGATTTATTATGCAGTAATATGAAACTAATAATGCACATAAGCAGTTTTCAGATTGATTTGTTAGAGATCTTTACCTTTGCACTTTTATGGTTTGCCTCCAACTTCCATGTTTTTTGTAGTGTAGGTGTTTAACATTTTGATGTAAGTGAATATAGATAGTAATTCTTTTATTTAATGATTCATTTGGTCTTCAAAGCACTAATTTATGAAGAATCAATTCTATGTTACATTTTTACCACTTTATATATTTGAAATCAAATATGTATTTTTAATCCTATTTCTATATTGATTAGAACCATGAGAAAGAATAATGGTGATTATAGATTTTCTCATCTGACTCTTTGATTTTGATGGAAATTACTCTGGTGATATATATTCCACACCTAGAAAAATGTACTATCTAAAAAAAAGCCCCTGTTGACTGCAGTGACAGTCCAAATCTGTCTTGTTCTCATAGATACATACACTATATTTATCTGAAGCACTTTCTTTCAGTTCCCTCTCTGAATCTGGCACTGTAGTTCATAGCAATGATCCCCAAGTTTCATTTAATGGCTTACTTCATATATTACTTCTAGCTCATTCTATCATGTGTGGTTGTAGATGTGTCTAGACTAGACATGTGACTAGACAGATAAACAGATAACCTATAGATAGATGCCACAGATACAGGTAGACATAGATATATAGATGTTTGGTCAAAGTTCATTTGCTATTATTTATGTCCAGGAATTTGTACATGTAGGACTTCAGGGACTATGTTTAGGTGAACAACTTTCACAGGAAACACAGACAACTCAGGTAATCTGAAAGCATCTGGCAAAAACAAAACAAGATATTTTGTCTACAGTTGTATGGAATTGTGCCTTCATAAAATCTATTTGGTGCTGAAAACCCCTCTGGAACACTTTGCAGTGTACCACACTGATGGGCGGGCCCAGGAGCCAGCGCTCCTCAGAGAAAGCTAAAGATGTTGTTCTTCACCTCATTTCCCAGGCTGCCAGGCAGAATGCAATGGCCTGGGTGACGGCTGATCCATGAGGTGACTGTGAGATTTTACTGACTTATAAAATGACACCACGGAACTGCTTGGTTTAGCTGTGAGAAGCTGTGTGTCAAACTGTCCTGTGGACAAGCAAAGATACTTCAAACTGTTACAGATTCTACTTTACAACTGCTCAGCTAGAATTATGCTCTCCCCTGTGACCTTCAGCTCAGCAGTGCGTGTTTCTTTGACTATCCCTAGGACCTTGTGGGCCCATTTATATAAAGCCCACTCCCCTGGCTTTATATTTTAGTGGAGAGGAGAGCAGAGGCAGAGTATTTCTTAACTAGATCCCTGGAAAAACATGCCAGCAAGCACCACCATCATGCCTCCAACCTCCTCTCATGTGCTCCTCTTCTATGAGGCATATCTCTTCCTCATCAGGGAGTATTATGACATTCAAGATGTTTGTGTGGTTGTTTGGTGGCTGATATTTCTGGATATCTCTGTTTTTGTGACACTCCACCTAACCTGTCATATAGTATCATATGTACTGGTTATATTAACACATAGCATAGTGAGCTTATGAGTTTCACGATTGCTGCCGCAATAGTGTTCTTTGTCAGAAGCAAAACAACTATACACTGAAGTTCCATGAGTGTGTACACTATTTTTCTCATTGCTGTATCCTTAGTAAAATGAATACTTTTTGGCCATGGTAAGTATCATAATAAAAGAATGCATGCTCTCCTCGCCTCTGCAGACTTCTCAGATTTTACTGCCGTTCCCAGTTTATCTTTCTCAGTGTTCAATCTCAAGTGAAGCGAGCGGAGATGATGGATAACAGGTATGTGCCAGGCAGTTCTTTTCACTATGTTCTGGCGCTTGAATCTATCCTTCCCCTGAGAAGTGCCCTAGCACCATTTAATTTAACATTGTGACTTCCTCCTTTTGCTCTTTCTGATATTCTTCGGTCTTTGTTGTATAAAAATTTAGCTTTGAGATGGAACAATTTCAGTTGAAGTTAAATTAAACAAAAGGGTGAATATTGATTGGTTCATGTAGGCACAGTTGGACCTGGAGACACCTGGAACCAGAACCGAAATGCTGCCCAGGCCCTAGTTACACGTCTGAGGCCTCTTCTTTCTGAGGGACGCATCATCCTTAACATCTATCATTCTTTGTGGTAAAAACATTTAGAAGGTTTTTTTTTTTTTTGGTACCAGAAATTGAACTCAAGACTTTGTGTTTGGCAGGAAGGCATTGTGCCACCCAGCCTGAAAAGCCTTTTTTTTAAAAATAGCATTTTTGAAATCTAGTATATTGACATTATCTTACTCACTGTACTGTGCAATAGAACACCAGAACTGACTTCTTAGCACACCTGTGCTGGCCAAGTCTATGGTTCTTTGTATCACTGAACACAATTCAAATATAATAGCTGTTCTATATCTACTAATTCTAACATTTAGTTAATGTTTAAATCAATCTTTTTTGGTTGTCTTTTATCTTGAAAATGAGTCATGTTCTGATTTTTTTTATAGGTCTACTAATTTTGTATTACATTCTAGACATAGTAACTTTGTGTTGCAGTCTGTAAATTCCACTGTATTCTTTAAAGAATATCAATTTTATTGTTTCAGAAGGCAATTAAAATGAATGTACTAAGCCTGCTGACCTTGTATCTTAGGCAGTAGCTCCAATATTAGTTTGGGTCTTTGGTCCTTTTTTTTGACAGTTCTAGGCATCAAATATCAGCCAGAGGTTTGGACAGAGTTTACAAACTGTATTTAAGATTCTCCATTCTCCTTTTCTAGCTCTCTCTTTTCCAGGATCTCTATTCAATTTCCAGTGACTGTGGTTCTCCTCAATTTGGTATGAGGGTATTGTTGTCTAAGAAAGTCTGTGGCTTTTCTATCAGAGGTTTAGATGCCCTTCGTTTCAGGTGTAACTGTATTAGTTTACATTTAAATCAAACTCTCAATCACATTGATTATGAAGCATTCTGAATGTATTGTCTGCATTTGTAAAGAGGCTCTTTTTTGCAGAAAGCAGTAGAAATGGGGAAGAGAGGAGCTCAGAACTGCTGCCAACAGCTGTGTGACCCTAAAGTGGACAGCAAATCTCCCCGGGGCATTTCTTCATTTGGAAAATAAGATCTCTGTCTTCAAGATGTTAAACACCAATGTCTCTCCCAGTTAGTTCTGTAGTTCAGTGAGTTTTATGGTGGGATGAGTTGAGAGAAATCAAAAGTCCTTTGTCCCCATTTCTTTTCAAACAATAGCTTACAGTAAGGTCCTGTGGCCTGTAATTGGCATATACTTGACTGTATAAACTTAAGCATACAATTTGATGGGTTTTGATGTGTGCATATTCATTGAAACCATCACTGTAATAAAAATGGTGAACATACCCACCATCCCTCAAACTAAATTGTGATTTCTTCCTCCATCTCTTTCTTTGTCCCCTAATCCCCAAACAGGCAGCCACTAAATCTGCTTTTAGTTATTACAAATGAGTATGTCATTGAACTTTGGATTTGCATTACCTTATTGTCTAATGATAATCAGTGTCTTTTTACAAACTTATTTGCCATTCATATCGTACTTGGTGAAATATTTTTTTTCGAATTCTCTGCCCATTTTTTATTGAATTGTTTGTTTTCTTATTATTGGATTTTGAGGGTTTTTTTTCATGCCTTGAACATAGGTGCTTTATTACAAATATGCTTTACAATAATTTTTTTTCTGACTTGTATATATTCCTTTTCTTTACATTGTCTTTGGAAGGCAGAAGTTATGTGGAGCCCAAACTTCTGACAAACAAAATTGTGAGACACCATAAAGTGATCTCTAATTTTTAGTTTGGTTCATTACACAGCAGTAGATTATTACCTTAAACAGGTAAGGAATAAAGAAGAGGAACAGTGGTGAATTAGGCAGAAAAACAACAATAAATTCTACTGTTTAGTTCATCGAATATACCTATTGTCATTCCTTTGGGAAGCTCTGTTCTGCCTTGATTTGTGTAGTTTGAGGTCTGAAGAAAGCAGAAGTTTGCGCTCTCTGCATAAATGAATCCCCTTCTTTTCTGAGTCATCTGCTTTGGAAAGTAAAACCCTGACACACCAGAGGACAAATTCTTAAGTCTTCTGTGGAACTGGCAGCTCCTTTGATATATCAGGGAGCAGTGGGTGACATGTCCTCCAGGCAGCAGTTTGATATCTGATATCAGTTGTTTATCTTTCAGGTGGTCATATTTTTGTTGTATATGTCTTCTTAGTTGGTACCAATTAGTTTTTGTAAAGATACACCGTGTATGAAAAATTTTGTGGAACACCATTCATTCATTCATTCATTCACTCATTCATTCATCCATTTCTGTTTTTATTCTCTTAATCCTGCATATATTATCAGATGTGGGTGTTATAGCCTAGTTTTAACCCTTGGGCCTTATTTCTGTTCTGTAAGCACAGCTCAGCACCCTCCTTCCCTTCCTATCTTTCTAGGTTAAGTTTCAATTTCCTGAGAAATCTGTAAAAGCCTTAGGTATCAGTTTCCTGTAACCCCCTCCCCTACCCCTCATCCGGCTATCTGTAATAAAATGTGCTGTTCTTTAAGAAATGCTTATCTTCAAGGAAATTACAGGAAGTTCTATAAAGTCCAGATGCTACCTGTGTCAGCGATTACAACATTCCTGTGGTTTTCGGCTTTAAAACCCAACCTTTTTGGCTGTAAGGCGTGCAGTCTCCAAATTGGCTCCTGGAGACTGTGATGCCAGGCCTGGCCTAAAATAAAGCCTTTGCTCCCCAAATTTTAATTTCTTGCTTCCTTGGGTTTTATTCAAGGGTCTGAGCTATCACAGCAGGTACTAAAGACAACGCCGAGTTCTTCCTTATACATCCTTTATCTGTCTGCCTAAGTTTCTCTGTAAAATATTTTCAAAGAACATATGTCAGACTGTGTTTAGCAGCAGTTGGTTTTCTCATAGAAATGGAGTGAGATGAAATCTCAATGCTATGAAAAGGATGACTTTGAGGCTTTTATAGGTAAATGGAGGCAACTGAGACTATCCTCATAAGTGAAATAAATCAGACTCATATTCGTAAATATTGTGTTGTCTCTCTAGTATAAAAATAAATAATAATAATAAATTTAACAAGTAATAAGATCCAAAGTGTATAATAGATATTGTAATAAAGAAAGGGAAAGAACATGCTCAAAAGAAAATAACAACTTGTGGGTATATACACATAGCTGTATTTATGTTTAAGTGTACAAGTAGATAACCTTACCACTAAGTTTTTTTTTTAATTTAGAGAATAAAAGTAAAACAGACAAAAGGGTAGAAATAATACAGAATTTCAAAAAAATACATAAAAAACACTAAGAAATCACTAGTTGATAAATTCCATATTGTTTTCTTAGAAGACTACTAAGTTTTTGATAGTTCATCAAACATAATATTTTATCCTGTCATTGTTTGATTGTTCATTTTTTAAACTTTGCTTTTGTAACTTGAACAACTACTTCTAAGATAACAATATGTAATATATCAAATAGTGATGATTTGTTAATGTTTTCTTAAATTCTGTATCATTTCTATCCTTTTTTAGTTTTGCTTTTTTTAAAAAATGAAAACAAAAAAATAAACAAACAAGCAAACAAGAAAACAAAGTACTTAGTGAAGTTCCTTTGTTTCCAAATACCACTAAAAAGCATACAGGTCTCTAAGCAGAACAAAAATTCAAAGAATTTCTGTTTTTGTCTTAAATAAGGGATACAAAACTCCATACAATTGATAAAAAGTAACAGAAAGATATGATACTGAAGTAAGTGGTTCTTAATTCAGATAATTATGTTAACCTTTTTTAAAATTTATATTTTATTTTATTTTATTTTATTTTTGGTACTGGGAATCAAACTCATGATCCATTAAGCTGATTAATATTTATTGTTTTTATGCTTAAATTTACCAAAAAGTAGTACTATGGTATACAATATGCTTTGTGATCTAATACTTATTTAACCATATGTTAATTTTATAAAGTATTCTTTTATCATCATTTCATGTTTTTAATAGAACAGAGTTTTAATAATTTTATTACTGTGTCAATACATATGTAATTTTTTTCCAATGGTATGATTAACATTATAGATACATATTTGAGTGTATCTATAGTTAGTTTCATAGATAAATTTCCAGAAAGGCATGTTAGAATGAATACTTTATGAACTGCCAAGTTTCTTCTTGAGATTAACAGAAATTCCCACCTGGAGAGTCTTATAATTTCAGTTTAGTTTTGTTTATCTTTTGCTTTGCAATACTTTGGTTTGAACCCTAGCTAGATAATTTTTTTAATATAATTTTTAATTTTACGAAAAAATTTCTTAAAATAACAGTCAAATAATTGTTAGTGCATTCTATCATTGTCTTCAAAGTAGTTATTCAGTATGCAAGATATAGACAAAAAGATTTTTTTTTACAAAGAAAAAGTAAGCAGATAACACAAAATATTACTTTTAACGAACTAAGAGAAGCTAGGTGAGACTGTCTCAGCAGGCCACAGTTGTGCAGACTGGGTTCTAACTTGTGATCTTTCTGCTTCAGCTTCTCAAAGAGAAGGATTACAGTGATGTGCCACCACATCCAATGAAAGTTTAAGTTTTTGATAGAAAATTATGAAAAGGGCTCTTTCTTTTATTATTGTTAATATTAAGCATTATATCTTTAATCC